AGCGGCCCGCGGGGGAGAAGAACCGCGAGCCGTTTTACCCCCTTCTCTCTCCCTCTCTGACTCACAGACACACACGCACACGCACACACACACACGCACGCACACACACAGACACAAACATACACACGCACGCGCGCCCGCACACACACACTCACGCCCACGCACGCACGCACACACACACACACACACACACAAACACACACACACACACACACACACACACACACACACATATATATATATATATATATATACCGGCTTGAGCGGCAAAACATTTGCTCGCTTTCGCAAACGTGAGAACACGCTGATGTTCGTCATATAGTACAGTCGTCTACAGTCCGATAGCTCCCGAACAAAACTAAGAGGAGGGGACGAATTAGGAGAATTGGCGTTGAGTTGCTAACGAAAGCTCAAACCGTGGTCGCGATTTTAATATCCCCATTAAAGCAGCGTCGTCCCGTAGGCCATGGAGGCACAGAAAGAACACGCACATTTGGCTGAGTCGCTCGAGTCATCATTTCATTTGACGGCGTGATGATGCATGCTTACCCATTTTCTCGCTGGAGGACGCGCGCTGACGAAAGCGAAGCGGCTGTGGACGATTCGTCGATGGATGTATACGAGAACATGTAAGAGTGCCGTTTCCCTGACGACCACAATGTCACGTGTGACGAGACAAGCACGAGTGACGTGAAAATGCAGCGCGGTGCGTACTCGGTTTGCTCAGCAATCGAGGTTCTCGCCGCCACAGCGCCGCGGACAGACTTACGTTTTCAGGAAGAAAGTAAAAAATACGAAGCGAAACTGGTGAATTAACTCCATAACGAAACGGTATGTGTATTTGTCCGTTATTTAATATTTTCTCAGCCTAGGGTTTCTTCGTTATGGCGTTTTCAGGACGGGAGACGCGAGCCGGGCGGGGCTCCGTTCGAGAAAACTTTTTTCGCCAAAACACAAACAGAACCCAGTAAGGGCTCTCCAGAGGCTCCATCCGCCGTTGTAGTAACAGCAACCAGCGCCCGCCTTTGGTCTTTGTTGTTGATGCGTGTGCGTCTTTCTTTTTTTCCCCCGCTTTCTCCTGTTTGCGCAAGGCGCATAAAAATCGATACGTGCTCGAATCTGCAAGCACAGCGACTGCGGTAAAAGCGAACGCCCCGCCGTAGTGAGCGGCGGGGCCAAATCTTCGGCGGCAGCGGGGATTCGGGCTTTAGACTGGCGGCGCGGTCACGCTCATTGAAGCTCGCGCGACCGACGAGCGGATAGGCATCGCAACAGCAGAGCGCAACCACCAACATTAAAAAAAAAAAAAAAAAAAAAAACGCCGGAAATGCTTTGTGTCGGGAAACAACCGCGTCGTCATGTCCTATTCTTCTCCGCTGTTCCAGTTCCCCCGTTGGCTCAACCTAGCTCCAGAAAAAGGCTACGAGAGCCGCGCTGCTTGTTCCAGTGCTATTTGCTGGGAAACGAGAGAGCAAAATCAAAGGAGCGGTTTCGGGGCATTGTGCGGCCACTGATAAGCGCGCTTCGAAACGCCTTCTCTGCGTGACTTTACATTTTCTTGAGAATACTCGTTGTACTTTTAGCCGTCTATTGCACCGCAGAAGTGATGTCGAGGACCGCGCTGGGGTGCCGAAGAAACCGCGAACTTTGAGTTCAGAGATTTTTGGAATCGCACCCTTCGTCGTATGGCGTCATTAGTAATCAGAAAGAAACCTCATTCTGAAAGGGGAAAATCTTTTTTGAGTTCTTCTCACCAGCTTCCGCTTTACTTATGCTTCATTTTGTGAGTCGTTATGCCCACTAGGCCACCATTACGCGAGTTGGACGTCCAGTAGGCTTTGGAAACTATGCACATACAGTGAGATGAAAAATGTTAATGGCGATATGGCTTCTAAAGTTAACGTCGCATCGAAGTGCAGTTTCCTGTCACACACAACGATGGCAAGTACACCACCTACACAAGGACTAGGTGTAGGGTACCATGACAGAAAAGATGTGCCTGAACAAGGCCAACAAAGGAGACAAAGGTCTGCTCCGGCTTGGCGCATCTCCCGGCAGGGGCGCTGTCGATGTAGGGACCTTTGCGCAGGCGGGGTCGCGCGCCGCGCGGTCTTGAAAACTTGTGAGCGAATAATGACGCTTCCTTAAGTGTGAAGACATGTTCAGTACCTCCCGGCGTTTACCAGAAATGCGAGCGAACCTTCGACACGCTTATGAGACGGTGAGGAGGCGCCGTTCCTCTCACTTAATTCTTCCACCGTGGTCTAGTTCTAGACTAGGCCAGTCTACGTGTTGTTTATTTAGAGCCAAAGAAACGACCTTTTTAAAGCGACTAGTCTTCAAAAGTTTAAAATATACATTTTTATTGATGAGTACTTCGAACTTTATAGTTGTCGAGTCCGCCTTGTGGACACAAAACAAAATTATACGCAATTAAAAAAAAACGCTAGCATTATTATTAGTTAAGTAAAATATAAAATCGCGACACAATAATGAAAAACCCAAATCTCCTAAACTTTGCGAATAAGAACTAACAGATTACGAATACCAGGGTAGAGCCTCCAGTCCAGATGTCCTGCTTCCAGAGCCCAAACCGAGGCGGTTGCTATTACTATAGGTAACTGGCACTGAGATAATTTGGTCCTCTATGCTAGTGGCTTTACCTACTACCTAGTGTGAGCGTTCCCTCCATTGCGTTAAGTTTAGGCACACAATAAAAAATATTCACGCGTCTATTTTCCCGCAGAGTTCTCAGACCGCTACGGACTGTGTTCTACTGACGGATCTCTGCAAATAACGACGTCAAACAATGTTTAGAGCTAAAACAATAAGGGGGTTTGCGACGGTGGCAATGAGCGTACTCTGAATCACATTGCAGATTTTATTTTTAGGTAGGACCGACACCATAGATCGCAGTTCACAGGGAGCAGTTTACACTCGTTGCGAGATGCTTCAAGACCTTGACGCGCGTCTTCAAGCATATCGCATCCTGAAGCACCGAGTAAGTACCATGCACGCGTCAAGGCGGCGCTGCATAGATTCACCAATGATAACGCTATAAGAGGAACGGCGCAGGCCATGTCTCTCTGATGATAATGCAATTAATGCAAAGGTGCAGGCGGGCTGGAAAAGGGTACCGAAAATAATCCCTGGAGATGGGGAACAAGGGGGGCAAAGGACAAACACAAATCTCCAAACACAGCTAGGTAGCTGATGCGCGAACGAAAAAATCCGCCTGTGCCCTAGTATCGAAATAGGCAACTCTAAATTTCCAGTGGAGCGCTCTACCAACTGAGCTAACCAGGAATTGCACATCAGTAGAGCAAACGGTTTTGATTAGCTACAACCAGTCTAACACCAACAAGGGTGAACAATCTGTATTTTAAAGTTATGATGATAATGCAATTAATACAAAAATGCAAGCGAGCTCGACAAGAATGCCGAAAATAATCCCTGGAGAAGGGGAACAAGGGGGACAAAGGACAAACACAAATCTTCAAACACAGCGAGGTGACTGGTGCGCGGCCGAAAAGATCAGCCTGCTCCTTTTCGCTCACGCACCATGTTACCTATATAGCTGTGTTTGGAGATTTGTGTTTGCCCTTCGCGTCGGCACAACGCCGACGCGAAAAGGCGTCAACGTTGTGCACGAAACATGGTCATAAAAATACGTCATCAAGCAAGCACCGCTCAAGGTCAAAGTGGACGCGCCTCAGAAATAAAACACAGAGAAAGGCACAGGAACGCAGATGCTTCGTCACGGAAGCGTTCGTGAAGCCGGCGGGGTTCGCCACGCCTCCTCAGTGGGGGAGCGTAATGTAACCGCCGGAGCGCCGTATGAAAAAGGAAGACGTGGCGCGCTGCTTGTAGGAATGCGCTGCGTGTAGGATTGCTTTCGCATTCCTACACGTAGGCAATCTAAAGTGTCTCTGCCGATTTTTGTTTCATATCTTCTGCACTTTTAACGCGTTGCATAGGTGTAACTATATATTTATAAACGACAAGAATTACCTCTCAAGGATATTTAGCGAAAGTGGAATAGTTCTCCCGGGGCCCATAATTTTATTTCGGTTACGGACTCCCTGAAATTGTTGGCAGCGCCGGGCACGCTTCAATAATTTCTATCTATTGCATTCATCAATAAAGTCGCGGCTTTGACAGAGAAATATCATTCTTTCTGGAACTGGCTTAAAAAAAAAAAGAAGAGAAATCGCATTAGAATACCATAATGAAGCATTTTTGTAGTTTATAATACACAGTGAACAAGACAAACACCTTCAGTTGTTGTTTGTTTGTTACAAGTCTGCAATGATTTCGCGTTGCTCTTTTGTTAAGCTGAAGCTAATCGATGATGCTTGCATTCATTCTTCAATGTGCTGGTTTGGTGCTTTTGGTAGTTTCCTGCTTTTAATGTTCTTGTCACACGAGGAAACAAAGTCGGTGTCACTCCTTACTTAATTCAGCAGATGTCAGTCCTACAGAAATTCTAGCCTTCGCATCCGACGGATAAGCAGGAAAAAAAATCATATATGCGTTTCGTTCAGATATTTTATAACACGCACTTTTACAAAGAACAAATTATCACCATTAATAAGCCACGAAACAATGAGCATGATATTAAAAAAAAGACGCCACGATTGCTCCTAATTCGCTGCAGATTATCGCCGAAGTTCACACCCTGCGAAAACGTGCCAATTACCAGAGGCGCCTGCTAAGTGAATGCCTTATAGTGGATCTTATCCTTCCGTGATCACTCCCCAGGTCTTTAATCGGGAGTGGAAATGGCTGTACGGGAGCTCGTTAGCCCTCCGTTTCGTCAGGTAATTCAACTTGGCTCCTTCTCTGTCCTCATCTTCCCAAACGATAGGAAGTAAAAGAGCCAGAAGGTAGAGGGTAAAAGAGAGTAAGAGAAAGAGAGGGAGGAAATAATCACGCTTAGACGGGTTCACACGGCCATAAGCGCAAAGCCCCCGAGCGATGCGGGAAGAGAAAGGCCTCACCCTCTCCTGGTTCTTCTCGCTGTCCGTGGTGTGCCCCAGACCTAGCACGCCAGGACTCCGGTTTCGAATAGGCGCCGAACCGTCCGTCGCCCCGCCGACGAGCATCTCGTCGGCGTCCCTCTTGCGCGCTGAGCCGCGGTGGCTCTGGCCGGACCTAGAGTCCTGTAGCCTTCGAAGGATGTTGGAGCGCAGGTTGGGTCCGGCGTTCTCGTCGCCCGCCCTGCTGGGGCCGCCCGTGGCTGACGAGGCGGAGGACGTGGGCTGCGGTCCGGGGCTCGCCACGGGTGGCACCGAGGTGGGCATGACCGCGAAGGTTGCTTCGACCAGAGCCGTCTGTATTGCGGTCAGATCCGACTCGGAGAGGTCACTGGGCGTAGTGCCGTGCAGGTTGGCCACGTGGATGCGCGCCCCGAATTCCAGCAAGAGACGGACGGTGGTCCAGTTGACCTGCGGCTGGCACACGGCGAGATGCAGCGGCGTCACGCCGTTCTTGTCCCGGGGACAGGGCGCGGCGCCGTACTTGAGCAGGAGTCTCACCGCGGCCGCCTTGCCTATGGCCGCGGCCAGGAACAGCGGTGGCAGGCTGTACAGGAAGTCTCGGGTGTACTCTTCCTCGAAGGTAACCTCGCTGCAGTCCGATGCGATCCGCACCACCTGGTGTTTTGGTGACATCCGCTTGCGCAAGGGCACGTAGATTCGGCGCGACTCGTGCAGGGGTGACGTGTGCTCCGAAACCGGGCTGTGTGAAGGCCCCGCTCGCGATGGACTCAGCATGACCAGGCGAGGCGGCATCGAGGTGCTTCCCTCCGATGCGGCCGAACTGCTACGACGATGTGTCAAAGGCAGACCCCCCTCGTTGGGCTCCACGCCGTACTTGAGTAGGAGCGCCACCACATCCAGTGATTGGTACTCGATGGCCAGGTGAAGTGCGGACGCGAACACCGGCGGTACGGGCTCCAGGTCGGTAGAGACCGAGTCGCCTCTGTCGTAGCGGTCGAGGAGGGTCTGGCTTTTGCGCAGCAGTATTTCCAAGTCCTGACTGGGTGAGCCCGTGCTGCTCTTGTCCACTATGCTGCCGTGCAGGTTCACGGAGAATCGGCCGTGGTGGAGCTCGAGCAGCCGCCGCGCTGTGGCCACATCGTTGGCTCGGATGGCCCTCTCGAGTTGCTCGGCCTCGAGCGTCAGGTCGTTGATGGAGGATCCCAGGCTGCTGCCCGTCGTGGCCGCCGTGAGCGAGTGACAGGAGACGCTGAGCGGTATGCTACCCCCGGCTCCTTGGTACTGGTCTTCACTGGGCGGCGGCGTGGGCGTCGACTGTACCGCCAGGATGGGAGCCGGCAGCGGGGACCGTTGGCTCGACGAACAAGGCAGCACGCAGGTCGCCGGGCACGGCACGGGGCAGGCCGCCGCACAGGCAGCCACCCCGCACGGCTCGCCGACCTCCGGGTACAGCTGCAAAGAAAAGTGGAACATGTCAACCGGGCAGTTGATAAAATTCCTCAACTCGTCCGGAATAAAGCGTCACTCATCCAGTGTTTCTGAAGATTTCCCATGGATACGACCAGAGAGCGTGCCAAACGACGGAGAGTTGGGGCGTATTTCTGACAGCTTCGACTCACTTTCACCCCCCGCCTCTCCACAATAAAGGAATGGATGATATTGACAGGGGTTGCGACTTTTCTCGCGCACAATCAAGTGGGCTTCTAAGAGGCAGCAAAGCCTAACCGCTTTGTCGGCATTGCTCAATCATTTCTTTTTCAAACGCTCCGCTAACAGTCGGGCGCACTGACGCAAAGACATCACCGGAGACTCTTGTTGCTTCGGCAGCGGAAAATTGCGTCGCTTTTCAGCTCAGCTCCGAAGAATGGGGCCGCGCCTTCTGAAAGACGCCCGGGGGAGGCCCCATGGGCCGATCGCTCGTGCGCCAGGAACGCTACTCCGACCGTTCATCAAGGGGCCGCATCGAGCGAATGCCAAATTCTCTGCGCGTATATCTTCATCCACGCGGGCCTCTCGCTCCTTCTCGTCTGGGCTGCCATAAATTCTGATCTCGTGCGCTGTTCGGGGTTCGCGGACTCCGCCACGTTGCTGATCCGAAGATCGGGGCTCACGATGCTCGTCCACGACGAGAACCCCCAGGGAGGAGACCGCGTGTACACGTGACAGTCCTTCGGACCTTGTGCCGGCCTCTGGGGTCATGTGCTGCTGCTAACAGGACAAGTTGCGATTCGGTCAAACAGCAATTTATTCATTTATTTATTAATACGAGTAGTTCCATTCGGAGCTTTAGTAGGGTGGTTTCAAAGGTTTCAACATCATACCTTAATTGGTGGTGGAGTTTAAGAACAAACAAAAACTTACACAAATAATAGAATTAACGATTTTACTACACAGGTGAGTGTACTACATATATGAACCATAATACACCATAATACCCAGTATACAAATGCGAAAGAAGCAATAAAAAAGGTCTGAGGGAAAATAATAAAATGTTATTAATAAAACCAATAGTATGCATTGCTCAAGTGAGCTAATGATCTAAGGTAATTGCGAATGAATTCACAAACCTAACGCTGGTATGTCTGTTCTGGGTATGGTTTTCACTGTCGGGCACGGACTCGGTGGTTTATCCACGCGCTTTCTTTCACCTACCAACTCGACAAAAATTATTGACCCCTCTTTCCGGAATGGAAAGCCTCTGAACGGGCTAAATGCACCGAGAAACGGCCCCTATGATACCTGGCTAGGTAAAATGCAGAACTGCGATGTGTTCTACCTATAGGACGGGCTAAGCAGAAATTTCAGGCAGAGAACGTGCTATCTGCGTTAACCAACACACACACACAAAATGGTGCATAACGCGCGAAGTGTCAAGCGTCTTCGCATTGATGAAGACACACGACATGCACGCTTAGGCGTTGGTAACTCACGCAATACGCGTACTTTGAAGTAGGTTAGGCATCCTTTTTGGAAAGCATACATGCCGCAACTCCGAAGAGTGAGAACGTAAAGTTGGGCATTACTTGTCGCTTTATTTTTAGTGAGGATATCCAACCTGATAAAAAAACAGGAAAATCAGCATCAGACATTGCATGACGCCCTTTAAAGGCTGCGTGACGTCCTTCAAAGGCTCTTGCACATACACGAAACCGATCAGAAGATGTTACGAAATGAGGAAAAAGTGAAAATTGGTCGCCGCTTGTTTCTAGAGAAAAAATTTATATTTAATGCAAATAGATCGGCTTTTTCTTCTTTTTTTTTTTTGTGAGTGCAAGGCATGTTTGCGAGTCCTGTAGAAAAGATACACAGGCGTGTATACTTCTTTTTTTTTTTTTCAACTGTGTGAAACTTTTTTTGTGTGTTCCGAAGTATCTGCAATTTTCAGTGATGTTTATCACATGCACTCCAGCGATAACTCCCGGCGTAAATGTCAGTTATAAGATTATAATGGGGAGATTGTCTTTCCCTCTTTGTCCTTTCTCATGTGGCGCGAGAGTATTTTAATTTCTGCTTTCGAAGCTCACTGCATGCCGTTGGTGTAACGAACCGCGCAGAGAGTTTTCTCATGTAGCAATCAACAATATGCTATTACCGAAGCCACATCTGCGCTACAGGAATACACTAATACCTCTATTCTGACAAAATAGCGTGGAATGATTTTTGTCGCGTCTTCATTTTGGTACGATTTCCGGTTGGTTTTTCAAACATCTGTTTCTGCCTTTAAAGGGACACAGAAATAAAAAAAAAGTTTTTTTTAAGGGGTATATGGGACAGTTATTTTGTTATATATATATATATATATATATATATATATATATATATATATATATATATATATATATATATATATATATATATATATACTGTAAACGACCCTTTGTTCGCGGGCTGAATATTTCGCGATTTAGGTAAAGCTGAAGTTTTGTAATATTTCGCGGGTTCTAATTTTCGCGTCGCGGTGGGATCTCAACATAGATTCCAATGTTTTCACATTTTACCAGAATTGTTCGTGGGACCTATTTTTCGCGAATTGTAGGCGATTCGTGACATCCGCGAAAATTAGGTCCTCGCGAAAATTAAGTCGTTTACAGTATATATATATATCCTCTCCCTCTCCGAGTGAGAATCTCGGCCGCCATGTAACCCTATTCACTTTTATGTCACGCTTGAAGAAGGAGGGTCCCCCTCCGAAACGTCCGACTAAACTATCCAAGTTTGTCTGAACCTCGGTGGCTTTTTTACTTATATAATCACCGCATATAGCATTTCGACAATGTGTTATTTAAACTCAAAGGAAAAGAAACAAAGATAATGAACGCGGCTTTTATACTGCACGAACTCGAGCCGTGCATAGATGGAATAGGCGTTACGAATGACTGTACACCCACAGCCCCCGAGCCCCAAAGACATGTAATGATTCATCGCGCGGTTTTGCGAAACAAATGCCATTTTCAATGTTTCGTCATTACCCGCATTTGTTGCCTCGGAAAAAAAAAAAAAAGTTTTTTGCGCAATTTTTCTTTTCTTGGCTGCCACGATTACTCAACGTCTTCGATTCGATAGGAAGGACACAAGGATCGCGAAAGCGAAGAATTGTTGCTGCAAGAGCAATATATGAGATGTCGACATTGCCATTCTTCGGAGCGACTGTAGCGTTATGGAAGCTGATTCTTATATCTTCAGCACTAATCTCAGTAATCTCACGTGCTGGAGCCTCTTACATATGGTGGTATTCCTGTTAAATATTCTAAAAATATGCAGGCTGTTTCAGACAACTTGTGCCAAGACTTGAAAAATACTAGTGCACGCTACGCATGTTGAACTAATACAGAATTGTTCACAGTCCTATTGAGCAAGTCAATATGTTTTTTTCTTCAAAGGGTAAAACTGCCTAATTAACACAAATTGATTGGCTGACTTTTGAAAAGTCAATTTGTGCGCAAAATCTTCAATCTATACCTTGAAGAGTGCGTACAGAAGCATCCTATCGTGTCCTCTTTCAATTAGAAAGCCTTCATGTGTCAAGTTATTCCGAGCTTTAAAAAAAACGCGAAAGGAATAGAAAACTCCCACGTGACTAAGGGCACTAACATCGCAACTCTCTAGCGGGTAGTCACGTGAGGTTTCTTTTTCTCTATCTCGCGGGAGATATTCGGTCTTTCTTTGAAGCTGGAAAAAATTAGACATATGAAGGCTGCCTTTACAAAAACATTACGATGACATGTTTCTCAACAAGGTCTACAACTTTTCCATTGAAGACTTCCGCAAAATAAATATTCTAAAGGTTAGCATTCTTTAAGTCTCGGCACAAGTTATCTGAAACAACCTGCATAGTCGCTGTTGCGGTGTATATGGTACACAAAGTTAGGAAAAACGGCACTGAATTAAAATGTTTTTAAACGTGAACGCTCCGTTATTGTATATTGCATAAGTGTAAGCTATTGAAACCATTTTTTACCGCCATGTATGCTGTGATATTTGATTCACGTCAATATTTTTATTTGTATATACACGCTACGTCAGCTTATTTAATGATAAGATTATCATGAACGGAAGCTAGGTCTAAGGACGTATTGGCACGGAGCGTTTTGGAATGTGATGTTTCGTCGCGGACATTTTAGTGCGCGATCGTTTCGGTAGTGGGAATTTCGGTACGCGTTAAGCCGTTTCGGCAAATATAAAATGGGGACTTCTCTTCCAGGTGCTTATCAGTACAACGAAAATACCGCACTTGGAACTTTTGATGGATTGCTTCTTCGTATAACAGACTTAAGGTAATGTCTCAATTAAAAAAAAGGATAACCGGCCGATATAAGGCAATAGATTACTTTTATTTCAGGTGGATATCTAGCATGTCTCCACAAGCAGTACATTTTACAAATAATATATATATATATATATATATATATATATATATTTTTTTTTTTGTAATTCGAGCGAGTTTTATTTATCCTATAATTTGCCAAGTAAACTTGGAATTTGGAGTAAACGTTTTCCCTGCCAGTTTAAACATTTCAACTTAGTACCGTTTAACTCGTTATCAGTAAACAAGCAAAAACTACGAAATAGACTTATAGGGAAACTTTGTTACCTGCTTTAAAGAGGCGGTGTCAAACTTTTCAATGATACAAATACTTTGCAGCATAAAGGCCATTGCAAGCATGTTTTATGATGCTTAGCCGTGGAGTGTCGATATTTCTAAATATTTTCGGTTTGAGCAACAACGTTGACGAACCGCTCCGGAAAAAAACGCGGGAAGTGCAGATATTCGAACGCGGGACCTGGAACCTAAATGTTACGCAATGCATTTCCGCACATACCTTGTCGTCATGTTCTCACTGCTTGTTGTATTCGATCCCGCCAAATAAAATATTGAGTTTTATTTGTTTTGCTAGGCTAAAGGACGCCATCGCCTAAGAACCAGCTCGGACGAGTAAGACGCTGAGAGAAAA